TTCTCTTTCAATTATTTTTCATCCAGTGAACTTTAGAGGTATAAATGATATATTAGACTTTATTTTCAAACCTGTAAGAGGTAATACTTAGATTTTTCTCTTATAGCAGATGGGAAGTTTAGAACATTTCCATTCATTTTTCCAGATCATCTTGGAGAAATTGGGGAAAAATCCTTAAATTGGAAATAACTTGATTGTTACTGTTGCCATTGTTTTGTCATTAACTGGACATTTTCCAGAAGTAACGTTCTGCTAATATTGGCTTTCACTGTTGATGGACATCAAGAGTTTCAGATTTGCCTGACAGAGGAAGTTTATTTGGAAGAATAAAAAATAATTTAAAAAAGAGAAAAGGACAGGCTATTTTAATTAGAATTAATCATATCTATACCATAGTACTTTCCTTTTGTTTTTATTTTAGCATGTATGTTATTATGCCTCAGATGGTAAATTGTATCATTTTTTTTCTCAGTTTCTCTCCTTAGTAGGTTATACATTCTAACCCCTGCCATGGCCTCACAGGTGGAGTGTGCTTCTGTGCTTCCTCACTTTGGACTTGGCCATGGACTTGCTTTGGCCAATAGAATGTTGGTGGACATGAAATATGCAGAGGCTTAAATTGTGCGGCAATTTTGGGCTCACTTTCTTGCATTACTGTTATTTTTTGTTTTGAGAATGTTCTTTGGGTAACTAACTGCAAGTGTAAGGAAGATGAGAGACACATGTAACAGACAAGGGCACTATTTGCAGCTCAGAGCCAATCTCAGCAGAACCCAGTCTAAATCAGCCAAACTTTAGCCATTCCACCTAGGCACGAACAACAAAGTCTATGCTATTGGGATTTTTTGTTAACTGGTAACACAGCACTATTTTATAAAACATTGATTGATATACCTTGGTTATAGGTTTGTTTCCTTTACTACTTTGTGAGCTTCTTAAAAGTAACAACCATACTTTGTTCAATTCTGTATTTCCTCAGTTTAGTTCCTGCATATCATAGATCCTCCAAAATGTTTGATGGGTAAATAATGATGAGTGAATGACATTAAAGCGTGTCTGAGTTGAATGTAAGGAGCATTTTTATGATGGCAAGCCAGGTAAATAATTTAGAAACAGCACTGGGATATTGCTTTGGTTCTGAGAAAAGTTACACATGTTTTTGGGCTAAAAGTAGGAATTTATGATGATTCTAGCCCACTCGTAAGCAGAGCCACTGGGTCCT